GGAAGAACAGCACTACAGGCAGCAGCTGGAGGAGGACATAAAATGGTTGAAGAATGCCTCCGTCAAGCGGGTGCTAAAAAATGAGGCTTTAATATTCGGGAATACCTTCTTAGGTTTTCTTCTAGTATTGGGAGAGGCGTTGGATTTAGTAGCTACAGTAAGGTTAAAGTCATACACAGGACAAGAACTATTATTTCTTTATTTTTGACTAATTAACTATGTGAGATAATGCAATGGAGATAATCACGTGTAGGTGAGTCCGGTTGATTAGAAGCCAAAGTCCTCAAACCTTTCTTAGGACACCGGGTTTTCTGCCATATCTGGGAAAATATTAAATCTCATTCGCTACTTAGACGGAATTAATTGCATCTATTCAGATGTGCCATTGGGGAGATGGCTGACTTCTCTCTCAGAAATTGTTGCTAAGTGTTGAATGGGCTCCGACAGCTAGCTGCTTATAGTATAAGCACTTAAGTAGCAAGAGTAAGGGTGGTGTACAGTGTGCACAGCGTACAAAGTAGGTAAAGTAAGAGTAACATATTTCTAGTTTTATTACTCTTATCTTTCCTCTGTATAGAGAAAAAGAGGGATATCTAGATGTTTGCGCACAGAGGTTTACACATAAGTATTATGTAACATAAATATGTAATCCTGCTTATGCGTAATTGCTTATATCTAGGCCGCAACGCTGCTGCTGTGTACAGACACTAGCAACTTTTCTTTTTGTCTAAAGAGTTGCCTTCTATACGCGTTACCTCCCTTCTGTCTGTGTAGGTCTATCTAATTATGTTCTACCTTTACTCCACCCTATTTGTTAGGACTTGCCCCTAGTAATGCTGTGCGTTAAGATAGGCTAGTTATGCTATGTAAATAGCTTTTCTCTTCTTTATCCTTTGCTTTCTAAGCCCTGCTGTACAATCCCCTAGCTCTTTTCTCTTTTTATATAGTGCTAGCAGTAACAGATCCTTATAATAAAAAAGATAAGTATATATAATATAAAAAAAATAAAACAAAAGGAAATAAGCTTTATATAAAGGCGTTATTAGTCTAGTTAGTCTAAGGCATCTTTGCGCACAGGATCTAGCTAGTCCACAGATGCTTCTATATGCATCTACTAGGTTATCTTTACTATTAATTTACCTAATCTTAGCAATTTCCCTCTTCTTGTACAATTTGCAGAGTAACATAATGTTAATTATAAGTTACTTTTTACTAGTAGTGCCTAGCTTAATAAGGTAATTATATAAAAACCTTAAATCTATATAGATTACTACTAGAATTAGTAGCAGTTTAAGCATTTATATAATTTACTATAGAGTTGTACTAAAGGTAATTGCATTGTTAAACCCTCTAACTATTCTGTATAGTTTACTAGTAAGGACACTTCTAGTTACTTTTTTACACTTAGTAGAATTCTAGTGTATAATGTTGCCTAGTATTTTAAAGTAGTTGCTTTACTTTATATAGTTTTTATTACTTAATATAATTAAAAATCCTAGCTATAAGCTAAAGTTCTTATTATTAGTAAATAATCTATTTATAAAGATAAATAGCTTTACTGTCCGTACGTAAGTACAGTTGCGTCTGTACACGCGTACAGCTGAATTAGGTTGCCTGAAACGTTGGCTATCTGGCCTGTGCGTTAGGGGCTAGGTGTACTTAAGAGCCCTCTTTCTTTGTACAAAGAGAGAGGGCAGTAGTTAATAACAAGAAGATCTTTGCCTACTTACCTCTTAGTACGCCCCTTAGGCGTATGTTTGTTTAATTAAACCTAGGTTAACTAACACTAATTAGTCTATTAATAGACTATGTACCGCGTGCGTAGCCACGCAGAGGATATTGTCCTTGACAGACAGATTCGCAAGGATTGACAAAACTGCCACTGTACAAGAAGCTCACACCTACCGCGTGCGTAGCCACGCAGAGAGGGTACAAAGAAGCTCACATCCACCGTGTGCGTAGCCACACAGAGAGGGGTAAGCAAGCCCTGTGCGCGCCCCTAGATTAACTAATTGCACAAAGACAAGATCAGCAACCCGCCGCGTGCGTAGCCACGCAGAGAGGGCTCACTGCTAAGCCTTTGTGCGCCCTAGAGCCTCCTGTTAATACAGGCTGTGCGAATCCAGTCATCTACCGCGTGCGTAGCCACGCAGAGGAGACAACAGGCCGCAGATCAGAAACCTACCGCGTGCGTAGCCACGCAGAGAAGGCTCCTCATTAGCAGCCCACCTTGTCAACACCCCTTAATTAATTGCCTGCACGGAAGGCGATTAACCAGCACCACCCCCAGACAACCGCCGTACGAACGCAACCGGCACCCCCCCTCCAGACAACTGCTGTACAAACACACAACTGCAACTGGCACCCCCCTTACTGATTGATTGCCCGCACGAAAGGCGATCAACCAGCACCCTCCCCCCCTGAGAACGGCCGTACAAACACACAACCACCACCTACACCCCCCCCTCCCTAGAGATCAATCGCCTGCACAAAGGCAGTCCACCACTAATACCCCCCTCTAGTTGCCCGCACAAAGGGCACCCCCAACACATCACACTTCCCACCCCCACCTTAGCCATAGAACCTCTGTGGTTATACAAAGAGTTGTTAGGGGTTACTTATGTATTAGAGACAGTCCTACGCAGAGAAGTAGACCTTTACCTTTTAGGGAACAATTGTCTTAACATAGATACAAACCTTACACAACTATAATAATGCTTGTACGCAGTATACATCCTAATTAACATGCGTTATAAGATGGCTAGAAGGGAGTACACACTATAGGACAACAACAACTTTTAGGGATAGACAACGCACGATTTTAACCTCTTCCCCTGTGCAATTAGGCAAGAACTATTGCTTGCCTACGCAGAGCACAGGCACTATCCTGGAGGGAAGGTGAATTGTACACAGGCTAAGAAGCTAGGGGATATTATAAATAGGAGAGGTATTAAGGGTCCACTCTAGAAGAGGAAGAAGAGAGAGTAAGGAGGAGGGGAAAAAGAAGAAGTAAGATTAACATATAAATAAGCAAGCAACTCTATAAAAGTAAAAAGTTGCTAGTGTTTGTACGTAAGTACAGTTGCGTCTATACACGCGTACAGCTAAATTAGGTTGCCTAAAACGTTAGCTATCTAGCCTGTGCGTTAGGGGCTAGGTGTACTTAAGAGCCCTCTTTCTTTGTACAAAGAGAGAGGGCAGTAGTTAATAACAAGAAGATCTTTGCCTGCTCACCTCTTAGTACGCCCCTTAGGCGTACGTTCGTTCGATCAAACCTAGGTCAACCGACATTTACACTATTAAGCTATAATAGTAGAAAGGTAAAACTACACTTACTATTATCTATCTACTATTAGATTTATGTGTTAAGTGTGTTAATATTATTATGCAAAGAGTCTAACGTACCTAACGGGTTGGCCGGCCACACAGGTTGGCCGGCCACTTTTGCCAAGCCCCCACCACACTCTACCTATCTACATAATGCCTTAACAACAACACTAGATTAAATCTTCTAAAGAACGTCAGATACAGCTTGCTCTTTAGGCTCTTAAACAAAACTTAAAACTCTCCTTACAACGCGCTGCAGCTATTTATAATGTCTCTCACACAACACTAAGCAATTAACGCGCTGGACAGCCTTTAGAAGCAGAATGCTGGCCTAAATTAAGGAATCTAACTAAGCTTAAGAAGGAGGTAGTTGTTAAGTACATACTTAAGCTTATTACGCGCGGATTTCCCCCTAAGCTTGTAGCTGTAGCTAATATAGCTAATTCCTTGCGCGCTAAGCGCAATCTAGGCCAGGTTAGCTTAAACTAGCCTAGTATGTGGGTTAAGCACTGCCCTAAGTTTATAATAAAGTTTAATTACAAGTATAATTACAAGAAAGCGCTCTGTAAGGATCTAGAGGTTATCTAGAGCTAGTTTTGCCTAGTAGCTAACATAAAAGCTAAGTACAGTATCTAGGATAAAGACATGTATAACTTTAACAAGTTAGGCTTTATAATAGGCTAGATATTAACTAGAGCAGTTGTTACAGCTTTAGAGAGACAAGAACAGCTAAAGGCAATATAGCAAGGCAATAGGGAGTGGACAACAGTTATCTAGGGCATTAACGCAACAGGGTGGGCTATTCCACCCTTTATTATCTTTAAGGGCCGCTATCACCTCTCTGCCTAGTACAAGAAGGAGAATCTGCCTTAGAACTAGGTTATTGCAGTCTCTAAGAACAGCTAGACAACAAATAAGCTTAAGCTGCAGTAGTTAAAGCACTTTAATAAGCATATAAAAAGGAGGGTTGTAGGCGCTTATTAGCTCCTTATTATTAACAGCTATAAGAGCCACAACTTGCTTAATTTCTAGCAGTACTGCAAGAAGAACAAGATTATTACTATCTGCATGCCTTTACACTTATTGCACCTCCTACAGCCTCTTAATGTAGGTTGTTTTGCCCCTCTAAAGAAGGCGTACAGGCGCTAAGCTAAAGATCTTATGCGCAACTAGATTACCTACATTACAAAACTTAAGTTCCTACTATGCTTTATACGCGCCTATAATGCAGCAATTACTCCTAGTAATATCTAAGGAGGGTTTTAAAGCGCTAGTTTAGTCCTATTTAACCTAGAACAGGTTAAAATAGCCCTTAACGTCTAGTTGCGTACTCTATTACTACTACTACCTATTAACAACAAGCCCTAGCAGTTGCAAACCCTAAGCAATACCTTTAAATTTAGGTTGTAATTAATGCTTGTAAAGGCAAGGATTTAGAGGCATGTAGATAGCTCACTAACGTCTATAGTAGAGGCCTTTAAGAAGGTCTTAAAGGGGGCAGCAATTATTACGCACAAGCTAGTGTTGGCGCAAAAGGAGATTACAGAGCTTTAAGCAGCAAATAAGGCTGCCACGCGACGTAGATTGCATAAAAGAAAGCAGATTTAGGCAGAAGGGACCTTAATAGTTAAGGATAGGGCTTGTCTAACTGCTCTAAAGGAGTTTAGAGCGCGTAGTGATAGGAAGAAGCTAAAGACGCAGGTGCGCGCTAAAGGAGGTAAGCTAAGTTAAAGGCAATGCAGGCGGTGCAATTAGACTAGGCATAACTTGCGTACATGTAAGAAAGTAGCAGAAGTAGACTCTAAATAATATCTTGTGTTGTATTGCTCTATACAGGGCCAAAGTGGGCTGTTTTGCGAGAGAATGGGGTGGTTTTAGTGGGGGCTTGGCAAAAGTGGCCGGCCAACCCGTGTGGCCGGCCAACCCGTTAGGTACGTTATAGTTTATGTAGTAATAAAAAAGTTAAATGCTGCCTTTAGTTAACACATAAATGTAATATATGCCTCTTTTAGATATTACTTAACATATTATTATGCAGCATTCTTATTTTTTAAGTTAATTATATAAAAGTAGCTTACTTATCTTTTCTAAGTAAAGACTACTATATTATATGTAAGTTTAATCCTTTTACTATTAAACTTAATAAGCTGCTTTTTTACTAAAATAGTTTTACTTTTTATACAAAACTTTACTTTTTATAGTTTTTTTTTTTCTCTTTATATAAAATTTTTTATTATAATGCTTAAAGTGTTATCTATCTATAGGCTAGTAATACTAAAAGTGTGCTCTCCTTTATTAGTAATTAAAAGGTAAAAGTTATATAAAAAGATGTGCATATGCAGCTTTTCTTTATAGTAGTTATAGTATGTTTTAAACTAATATAGTCCTAATTTAGTAGCTCTATACAAGGGTTGTACAACCTAGAGTATTATATTTAGTAGAAAGCTTTAGTGCATTTTCTTTAGTAGCTTTATGTACAGCGTGCGCATAAGCTTATCTATTAATTAGATGTATACTTATGTAATATTACATAGTTTAAAATGCATTTTGTATATAGCTTTTAAGCTTACTTTTATAGCTAAAAGTAGTTTTTAGCTTATTCTCTAAATAGTTAGTAACTAAGTAAGGATTTTTTTTTTTCTTTATTTAAGTAGCTAGCAAACACTAGGCAGGATTTTTTATATAGTTAAGTTATTTTGCCTTTTACTTTTTATATAAGGTAAAAGTTAAAAATCTAACTTTTATGCCTTATTAAGTTATATGCTATAACTTTAAAAGTGCTATTAGTAATTAAAGTGTCTATTTCTATATAGTCTAATTTTTTAAATAGTTTTTTAGGTGTAGTAATTACACTATTTATATAAAGCTTAATAGATAAGGCCTAATTATTTTTTTTTTCTAAGTTAGAAATACCTAGTCTAGACTTTATGCAGGTTTTCTTTACCTTTTACTTTTTCTAGTATCTATATCTTCTTTTTGCACTAGTGCGGCATTGCTATTCTAAGGGGCTTAGTTTGTAGTAGGCTTTAGTTCTACCTTTATAACATTTTTATAAGGCTGTTCTCTCTTCCTCTTCTTTAAAAGATCCCTTTATATAGGGATTAGTTTATTTAAGTTATCTATTATAAGTGTCCGAATAGTGATATTCGGGCGCCTGGTTAATAGTCACGTGGCTCAGATGCGCCCGGATCCCTGTGCACGGAGATCTGTGCGCAGAGTTTAGGACTATATTAACCCCCTTTCCTTTGTACAATAGAAAACAACAAGAAGCAATTAACACCAGTTACCTAACACCCCTGTGCAATGTTTACACTGTGCAAACCTCTCTGTCTTGTACGCATTTGCTAACACTAAGTGCTAGCTAGTAGAGAGTCTATTTAACACTAATTAGTAGTTTAAATACTATAAAAGAGGAAGCTCTTCTTATACCTTTCTATTTAAAAGTTTATGTATAAGAAGAATCCTTTTCCTTACTACTTTAACTATAAATTAGTAAAAGTAAAAATAGAGTTTAATTTATATGCAAGTAGCTATAAATCTCTGTTTAGTTACTTAAGTAAAAGTAAGAAACCTGTCTGTACAATACTGTTTAAAGGTATTATATAAATAGTAGTGCTTATTTAACACTAGAAGGTCTGTTTTATCTTTTTACACAAGGCTGTTTAGAGGCAGCGTACAACAAGAAGTAAGACAGCGCGCAACAACGCATAATTAACTACTATAAAGCAACAAGCAACGCTAGCTCTATCTATAACTAGCTAACATAATGTATTAACGTATAACTAATATGTACTTTTTATAGGCATCTTAGCAAAGACCTTAGCAGAGTAGACAAATATTAAAGATTAAGTAAATAAAATTAAACTATTAAATAACACACTTAAAAAGAAGCTTAATTTATACGCAGCTAACTTAATTATAGAACTCTACATGTTAAGCATAATAAATGTACATACACTTAAAAACTTTTAGAATAACTTTATAAAGTAGAAGCTTATACACTTTAGAGATCTTAGCTAACTATTTCTATAAAAACTAATTACTACCTTACAGAATAAGAGCATTAGCTTTAAAAAGGACATAATAGAGGCTACTACACTATACAGACTTATAAAAAAAGAACACATGTTTACTATTTTACTAGAGTATTATATAAAACTATTACTACTATTACTAGTCTTAACACAACAGAGGATGTTTCTATATAAATTACTTGCAGACCTAATACTTTCTCTATAATTAGTATAA